TCCATCTATCCATATAGTTATATGTCTATCCATCAATCTTTACCTTCTACCTCTTTCAACAAATTTAACTTGGTTAAATTATTAATGTGGCTACATTTACCAAAATTTATGTAAAACTGGATAGAAAATACCTGTTAACTGTGGATCTTTCCTATAAAGTGGGCGACTGATGACTCCTAAGTGCAGCTTTTGTCGAAAATGTTTTTGATCATTGTTCTTAAGTGCATTTCTTTCTATCTTTTAACAATGTTATAAATAATGATTGGTAAACCTACATACCAATATATCATTAGTATTACCTCTGATTTAGGGCCAATATTCATACATGCATTCACTCATTTTATACAAACGAAGACACAGTAACATTATGTAAAGATATCACCTGAATCAACTTAATTAAGAATGTGATGTAAATTCTATTCTAAATGACTATAGAGAATTACCATCAATTCTAAAGCAAAACTATATATCGAATGCGTAAATATTACTAAAGGTTTAAACACTTCTTTCTCTCTGTTTCTCTTCTGTCTAGCTTTCTCTCTAACAGTTTGTCTCTCTATCTCTCTCTCCTATTTTCTATTTCTCTATCTATTTATCTATCTCACTCTTTCTCTTTTCCTCACTCACTCACTCTGCCTTAATCACTTCAATCTCTCTCTCTCTCTCTATCTCTATCTATCTATCTATCTATCTATCTATCTATCTACTATCTCTCTCTCACTCTTTCTCCCTTCCCTCACTCGCTATCTCCCGCCATCCCTCACTCTCCCTTACTCACTCTAATCTCTCTCTCTCTCTCTTTCTCTCTCTCTCTCTCTCTCTCTCTCTCTCCTCTCTTCTCTCTTCTCATCTCTCTCTCTCTCTCTCTATCTCTCTTCTCTCTCTATCTATCTATCTATATCTATCTATCTCACTCTTCTTCTCTTTCCGTCACTCACTCACTCTTCTCCGCCATCCCTCACTCCTTACCCACTCTAAATCTCTCTCTCTCTCTCTCTCTCCTCTATCTTCTATCTTCTATCTCTTATCTCTATCTATCTATCTATCTATCTATCTATCTATCTATCTATCTATCTATCTATCTATCTATCTATCTATCTATCTTCTATCTATCTATCTCTCTTCTCCTCTTTCCTCTTTCCTTTCCCTCACTCACTCATTCTTTGTGGGGGTACAGGTTATTGCACTATATGAGAACTGTTTATATTATTCATATTTTACCCCCGCAATTTCCCTGGTACTTTACATCCCCTCTGCTGCTCTCTGGGCCAAAATGTGGGGGATTAGGGGTTCCGCGGTATAATTCCTACATATATGAAGGATGGAATAACTACATATATGTGTACTAGAAGGTGAGAGGTTTGCATCGATACCCACATTGGCTGTGCGAAGGAAGGTATTCCGTAAAATTGCCACAACAACGAAACAAAAAAGGACAAAACCACACACTCGCTTTTCCCAAACTCGTGGAATTTTTGCCGCGAATATCCTCACCACCGGAAGCTGATTTCGGTGACCTCGCTTGACCTCTGACCCAGTAGTTTGAACGGTGAGGCCACGACATCTGAACGGCCTCTCTCCACGGTGTGAGAGCGTGGACTGGCGTTCGGTAAGGCTACGATCACTCTCACTCACTCTTCCTCTCTCTCTCTCTCTCTCTCTCTCTCTCTCTCTCTCTCTCTCTCTCTCCTCTCTCTCTCTCTCTCTCTCTCCTCTCTTCTCCTCTTCTTCTCTCTCTCCTCTCTCTCCTCTCTCTCTCTCTCTCTCTCTCTCTCTCCTTCTCTCTCTCTCTCTCTCTCTTCTCTCTCTTCTCTCTCTCTCTCCTCTCTCTCTCCTCTCTCTTCCATTCTCTCTCTCTCTCTCTCTCTTCTCTCTTTTGTCTGTCTGTCTGTCTTCTCTCTCTCTCTCTCTCTTTTCTCTTTCCTCTCGGCTCGAGAATCCTTCCTCTCTTTATTTCTCTCTCTCTCTCTCTGCTCTCTCTCTCTCCCCTCTCTCTCTCTCTCTTCGATGCAGTCATGTCACGTAAGCTTCCGTCCTCCTTGCTTCCTCGTGAGTGGTGCTTTATGAGTTTGCTCATAGTGTGCATGCATTCTCTCATTCTCCTCTCGTCTTTCGTCTCTCATCTCTCTCCGCAATCTCTCTCATCTCTCTCTCTCTCTCTCTCTCTCTCTCTCCTCTCTCTCTTGGCACTTGTAAATACGTAATGTGTCTGCCTGTCAATTTCTTGGTCTCTGGTGTTCCTACTTAAAAACAAACAAGAAATTCACACCCACTTTTCGAAAACAAGATGGAGTTCCGCCGCATATGTATAATCCTGTTGCGAAAGAAGCCTGAACGTCCCTACTTGCTGACATCGCCTGGACACATATCTAGCCAGTAGTTTACACGCGCAGCGGCATCGAGGTGAAGGACCGGGGGTGGCTTCTCTCCCGCTCTCTCTTCATCTCTCTCTCTCTCTCTCTTCTCTCTCTCCTCTCTGCTTTGGCTCCTTTATCCGTCT